TCAAGCCGCAGCACAGGTAGTCAAGAAAAAAGTGAACGAAAAAACTTTGGTTCAGCGACTTATCTTGGTTTCCTTTATATGACAAACAAGTTCTTCAGACTTCGTTACTTTAAAAACAATGAAACCACGAACAATATCCACTTTTCTTTATTTGATCTTGGTCAACCATGCGGCCCAACTGCGTAAGTTTTTATCACATCTATTATAAGCATTATCATTTTTTCACTACCTAAAATTTCAGCTGCTAGTTTTATAAAATGTGAGCCAAAACGAGGCGACTTCCAACACTGCCTAATCAACGTGGTTTAAAGAAAACGAATCGTTCCTTCAAAGAAGTGGGTTTGTTGAAAATAGAACCTCTGGAGATACCATCGCTGATAATAGACGCTGGAACTCAAATAATGCACACGAAACAGGTTTACAAAAATATAAAAATCTAAGGTTTTAATGAAACCACTTGCTCTAAAGTGGCGTAAGTTTATAATTTTTCGATAATCGCAATTAATACCTACTAAGCAATTTCCAGGTATGATGTCAAAACAAGAACATTGACGCTCGTTTGTATCGTGCCACATTTTAAATCCCAGGTTTAATACCAAAGGGATAACACTAAAACTAGATTGTATGGTCCCTCATTTTAGAGCCGTTTTCGTATACGAAGCATACGGGTACTTTTTATCTTCTTATGGAAAAGGAGATGCTTGGGTAATTTTGAGTAAGTTTGAAGATCATGTAATTATCTGGCATGAATTGATGATTCTAGGTAATAATCACGTGGAACTTAGGTTTACGCAAGGACAATATGAAAAGAACGGTAATCTATTTTTGATAGATTTTTAACAAACAAGTGAGTTCCTGTTGTTTATCTCTTCGGAGAACAATCATAATAGCGGGAGTCGACATATTATTAAATTCCAGAGAGTAGAATTTATTTTTTACTTCCCAAGCGTAAGCAAAGGAAGTATTGTAATCGAGTCCGTCGGCCGACTCTCTACTTTTACGTTTTCTCGATCTTTCATGACCCCTAGAAGACGAAGAAATAGGTCTCCCATTTCCGTCTGTCTGTCCGTCTGTCCGTCTGTCCGTCCGTCTGTCTGTCCGTCTGCCGTCCCGGATTTTTATTAGACAGATAATCTCCGAAAGTACTCGACCGATTGTTGTGAAATTTTGTGCTTATACTCGTATTAAGAATATCATGTAGATGGTAAAACGCTAACCAAAATTTGTCTAATCATCCCCACTACTAATGCGATGACGTCACTTCAAAATTGTACATAGTAAATGGGTTTTCAATTGTATAAAATAACATAGTCCTACACGTGTAGTTTACAACTCTGAATCGACTTTTCACCCGAAACGTCCAGATTTTTGGAAAAAAAATCAAAATTATAAAACAACATTTTGAAATTTTATTTTTAATCTGCTAACCAGAATGCTTTGAAATGTTGCAGATGTTTTAAGGCTATAAAGAGCATCATAAATCTTTAGTCAAAAAATATTTGCTTATCCCCTCCAAAAATTGATGACGTCAGCTCAAAAGTTTGTGGAATAAATCATATCTAAAATGTACAAAAAATGATGAGTCTGTACTTGTGATCTATCACTCCATTCATATTTTTTGGAATTGCATATACAGGGTGACTCAAAAAAATTAATGAATGCGTAAATATATTTTATTGATTTAATCAGGAACTACAAAACCGAATGCTCTGAAATCTTGCAGATGTTTTAAGGTCATAAAGAGCATAATAAATGTTTAGTCAAAATATATTTGCTTATCCCCTCCAAAAACTTGATGACGTCAGCTCGAAAGTTTGCCGAATAAATCATATCTAAAATGTACAAAATATGATGAGCCTGTACTTGTCATTTATCACTCCATTCATATTTTTTGGATTTGCATATACAGAGTGACTCAAAAAAATTAATGAATGCGTAAATATATTTTATTGATTTAATCAGGAACTACAAAACGGAATGCTCTGACATCTTGCACATGTTTTAAGGTTATAAAGAGCATAATAAATGTTTAGTCAAAATATATTTGCTTATCCCCTCCAAAAACTTGATGACGTCAGCTCGAAAATTTGCCGAATAAATCATATCTAAAATGTACAAAATATGATCAGTCTGTACTTGTGATCTATCACTCCATTCATATTTTTTGGATTTGCATATACAGGGTGATTCAAGAAAATAAATGAAAGCGTAAATTTATTTTACTGATTTACTCAGGAACTACAAAACCGAATGCTTCGAAATCTTGAAGATATTTTAAAATTATCATAAGCATGGTAAATTTTTGATCAAAACGTATTTGGTCGTCCCCCCTAAAAAATTTATGACGTCACCACAAAATTTTGCTGAATAAATCCTATCTAAAATGTACAAAATATGGTGAGTCTCTTCTTGTAATTTATCATTCCATTCAAATTTTTTCGATTTGCATATACAGGGTGACACAAAAAAATTAATGAATGCGTAAATTTATTTTATTGATTTAATCAGGAACTACAAAACCGAATGCTTTGAAATCTTGCAGATGTTTTAAGGTTATAAAGAGCATAATAAATTTTTAGTCAAAATATATTTGGTTATCTTCTAAAAAAAACTGATGACGTCAGCTCAAAAGTTTGTCGAATAAATCGTATCTAAAATGTACAAAATATGATGAGTCTGCACTTGTGATTTATCATTCCATTCATATTTTTGGATTTGCATATGCAGGGTGACTCAAAAAAATTAATGAAGGCGTGAATTTATTTTATCGATTTAATCAGGAATTACAAAACCGAATGCTTTGAAATCTTGGGAATATTTTAAAATTATTATAAGCATGGTAAACTTTTGTTCAAAATGTATTTGTTCATCCCTCCTAAAAAAATTGATGACGTCACCTTTAAATTTTGCTGAATAAATCCTATCTAAAATGCAAAAAATATGATGAGTTTGTACTTGTCATTTATCATTCCATTCATATTTTTTAGATTTTCTTAAGAGGTGGTTCAAAAAAATTAATGAAGTCAATTTATTTTATTGATTAAATTAAAGGCAACACTTATTATTAGTATTACATCCCAACCAACCCAATTTGGTAGACACAAAATTTGTTAAAGGAAAAACTCGGTTGAAACATAAGGGTAGCACGCTTATTTACATCGACTTTAACATTACAGACCTGCATTTGTTTTATGCGCTCACTTGGTTTCGCGAATGTGAAATAGACATGTTTATAATCAACCAATTGTGAATTTCACCGTCAAGAATTAAAATAAAACCCAATGTTTTATGTAATAAGCGGAAGTCGAAGCAATAAAACCGATGGTCGTTTTGTTTACAGTTTCTCTGTTTGACTCTCACGTATGCTGTTACGCCTGTCATCTTAAATTAAGAATGTTTATACATACACGATTTTCAGTTGCCTCTGATACGTATACGTGAGTAAATTGTTTCGTTATTTTATTGATTATTACAAATCAATATTCAAAACGACCCAATTCATTTTCCCGAAAATTTGAGAATATAATAATTTTATTTTTAGTATTACACTACATCTATCCCAACTGATATACGTGTCCTTGCAAAAATGTTGATGACGTCATCGCAATTTTTTTAAATTCCCACTACAAAAATGTAATGAGAAAAAAAACACAATAGGCATGCAGTCGTCAAGTTTCCGACAGCGAGGGAAGTACTGTCTAAACTCTTTAGACCAATTTTTTACTTTACTTAACTTGATCTTTGGCTGTCCGCATAAAATTTTACCTTAAAATGGTATCTTATAATGATAACACAAAACAGGAGATTTGCATCCAAACGCTATACATTTAAAGAAAAAGGTGAATGAGAAAAAATAAATATTTGTCTCTCATCGACTCGTTCATTCCTTCTGGGTTTCTTTTTTGCCTGTATATATAAGAGCAGGTTCTTCGTCATTCGTTAGTGGAAAGAAAATGAAACTACCAACAATATCCGTTTGTCTTTCCCTGGTGTTTGTCACTTTCGGACCTAGATTGCGTAAGTGTTTATTATCATTATTATAACAATTACTACCAAACTTTCAGCTTGCAGTTTTATAAAATGTAACATAAAACTAAGCGACTTTCAACAATGCTTGACTAAAGCGGTTGAACATGCCATAAAGCAAATGAACCGTCCGTTCAAAGAAGTGAGTTTATTGAGCCTGGAACCCTTTGAATTACCAGCAATGATAATAGATGCTGGTTCACAAATAATGCACACGAAACAGGTTTATACAGATATATAAATCTTAGGTTTTAATGAAACCATTTGCTCTAAAGTGGAGTAAGTTCATAACTTTTTAGCAATCGTAATTAATACTAAGCCAATTTCAGGTTTAATACCAAAGGGATAACACTAAAACTAGATTGTATGGTCACACATTTTAGAGTGGTTTTCTTCTACGAAGTATATGGGTACTTTTAATCTTCTTATGAAAAAGGAGCTGCTTGGGTAATTTTGAGTAAGTCTGAAGATAATATAATTATCTGGTATGAATTGATGATTCTAGGTAATAATCACGACGAACTTACGTTTACGCAAGGACAATATGAAAAGGGCGAGATATGTCCATTTTGATTTAGAAAATTTGTTCGACGGTGATGAAGAAACTGCTGATCGCGTTACAAAGCTCTTGAAGGACAATGCACTGCAGGTTTATGAAGATATTAAACCTGGTTACGACGAAGCGTTTGGAAGGATATTTGCTTCTATTTTTGATAGATTGTTAGCAAGAGTTCTTGTTGTTTATCTCTTCGGAGAACAATAATAATAGCGGGAGTCGACATATTATTAAATTCTAGAGAGTGGAATTGTTTTTTTAATTTACTTAACCTGATCTTTGGCTGCCCGCATAAAATTTTATCTTGAAGTGGCATCTTATAATGATAACACAAAACAGGGTATTTGCATCCAAACGCAATACATTTAAAAAAAAAGGTGGACGAAAAACAATAAATATTTGTCCCTCATCAACTGGTTCATTCCTTTTTGGTTTCTTTTTCGCCTGTATAAGTATATAAGAGCAGCAGGTTCTTCACCATTCATTAGTAGAAAGAAAATGAAACTACCAACAATATCCGTTTGTCTCTCCCTGGTGTTTGTGACTTTCGGAGCTAAATTGCGTAAGTTTTTATTATCATTATTATAACAATTATTACCAAACTTGCAGCTTCCAGTTTTATAAAATGTAACATAAAACAAAAGGACTTCCAACAATGCTTGACCAAAGCGGTTGAACATGCCATAAAGCAAATGAACCGTCCTTTTAAAGAAGTAAGTTTGTTGAGCTTGGAACCCCTGGAATTACCAGCAATGATAATAGATGCTGGTTCACAAATAGTGCACGCGCAACAAAGTTTCAAAAATTTAAAATTTTCAGGGTTTAATGAAACCACTTGCTCTAAAGTGGAGTAAGTTTTAACTTTTCGCAATTAATAGTACTAATAACTGATTTTCAGGTTTGATGTCAATGCAAAGACATTGAAACTAGACTGTCTCGTACCACATTTCAGATTTGTCTTCGATTACAGTGTAAATGGGCGACTTTTCTTGTTTTCTTTTTACGGCAAGGGACCTGGATGGGTAATTTTTCGTAAGTTTGAAAGTAATGTTATTCTGTGAGTTAATTTAATTCTTCTAGAGGATAATCGCATAGAGATTATGTTTACACTAGGACAATACGAGAAGAATGGTAGACAATACTACAACGTTATTAAACAACAGCTTACTACGTCACCGAGGGCTATAGATTTTGAATTTGAAAATTTGTTCGACGGTGATCAAGAATCAGCTGGTCGCTTTAATAAGATTTTGAAAGAGAACGTACTTGAGGTTTATGAGGATGTTAAATCTGGTTACGATGAAGCTTTTGGAAGGATGTTTGCTTTTGTTTTTGACAGATTTTTAACAAGGGTTCCTGTGGTTTATCTCTTTGGAGAACAGTAACGACACGAGACGTCATATCATCGTCGTATCATGTTTATTATCAATATACCTTATAACACATTAGTCGTATTATTTAAATCTTTCGTGAATTTTAAGATAATCTGAATGTTTTGTCACAATTTCTCAACATGATTAAAATAGTAGCCTCCAAATAAGCTTTTGAAATAGCAAAATTTTTGTAAAGTAATTGTGAAAAAAATCAAAGCAGACTCAAACCACAAATATATGAGTATGTAATATGTTGTGCTATAAAGTGTAAATATTAGTTATTACGAAAAAGGGAGTTTACCTCATTTAATTCTTAGTGGAGATAATTAAATAAATTTTGATTAGCACGGTACTCTTCACTAAAGGAGGCAATTTACTTTATTGATTAAATCGAAAACGGCTCACTCCATTTTCTCGGAATTTTTACTATTATTATTATTAATATTGCACTGCATCTATCCAAATTGATATATGTGTATTTGTAAAAATGTTGATGACATCATCGCAAACTTTTGTAATGGAAAAACTCATTTGAATTTCAGTTAATTTATTAACCAATAAAAATTACCTCTGGTATTATATCAAATTTATTTTATTTATGAAATACAAATTTAAATTAAAGAAAAAAAAATTTGAACCCCAGAGCAAGTATTAATGTGGAAACAAAAATAGAATAAATCAAAACAAAAACGTGTGTTAAAGAAGCAGTAGGTGGAGTGAAATAAAAAAAAATGACAATATTTACTGTGAAAGAAATTATTATTCAGTATTTTAGTTTTCAATTTTTCTATACATCAAAAGAAATTGAACACTTAGAACACCGCAATTTTAAACTCCTTATATCTACATGTCATTCTAAAAATAGAGGTTAAATGCGACTGGACTTGATTATTATACTTATGTAATTAAAGATTGGTCTCCACGTAAAGATTGTCTCCAGGACAAAAAAATTGGTCGAAAGTTGTTTCGACAGAACTTCCCTCACTCCCTAAGTACAATGAAACATATCCACCATTTTAGAAAAATTATAAAATTTAATTTCGCAGACTTTATATTTTTTGAGAACCCCTATGTAAATAGGTAATGGTAAAGTACTGCAAGAATGGTTATTTCAATTAAGGTTGGTGCAGTAATACTAATAATAACGTAGTGTATTCCTCCTCCCCCCAAAAAAAAAAATTGGAAAAAATGGAATGAGCCTTTTTAATTTAATCAATAAAATAAATTAATCTCTTCATGCAAAAGTAAAAACTGTTAATCCAATGATAAAAACTATAGACTCATCATATTTTACACAATTTAGAGTATTTTTTCGACAAAATTATGACATGACGTCATCAATTTCTTGGGGGAGATAAAGAGATAAATTATGATTATAAGTTTACCATGCCTGCAATAACTTCAAGACGTCTGCGAGATTTCAAGGCATTCGGTTTTGCAGTGCTTGATTTAATCAATAATATAAATTGAGTCATTAATTGTTTTTGCATCAATCGAAAAAATATTAATGCAAATACAATAATGTCAAGAGTGCAAAATAAGATTCAGAAACGATACTGCACGAAGAAAATTGTAAGTTTTGAGAAACAATTTAAATGTAGATTTTTTAAAGGACAGTTCCGAAAAAAGAGCTGCTGTAGAATTACTAGAAACATTTGGAGTGCAACCCCAGTTCAGCGAACCTTCTAGGGTTACAAAAACAACAACAACTTGTAACGACAATATATTTAATAAAGGAAATAAAAGCTACACCTGTACAACCTTTAATTGGTTCATGTCGGATCACCAGCAACAGCTTGTGGTAGTTGAGAATAACATTCAAGAACCTAAAAGTTACAAACAAAGAATAAAAGTTAGGGCTATACGAAAAGAGAATATTTACCGTTTCAAGGCCTATCTGTCTGAGCTAGATCATCTCTTATGTCAAAAACATATTCCTGAGGCATACGCAGCATTTCACTCTCTATGGATGTCACTATTTGACATATATTTCCCTGAAAATGATAAAACTATTAAATCACAAAGTAACAAATTTAATAAATGCTGGCAAGAGTTAATGGATATGAAAGTACCACATGTAATCGTTACTTCCAAAAAAGGTAAAGAATACTGGGAAGCCTACAACAGCTACAAACAAATATATTTAAAAAAAATCAAAATATATACGTTTCTAATCAATAGTGCATCAAATAAAACAAGAAAAATATGGGAAAACATTAAAGGTGCTAGCAAAGTGAGAACCAAAGAACACTCAAACTTAAGGGCGCCTAGTAGCAGACCGAAAAATGAGCTAAATAGAATTTCATTTTACGGGTGTAGTTTCAACTTTGAAAAAAAGATCGACATTTCAATTGATAGATTATGTCTAAATCTCTGGGAAAGACACAATATTTTTTGAAATAAGTGACTGCTTAGTGTTTAATTAATGGTTCATTCTTCGAAGGAAATTGCATTTTTAAACGAGGAGAGAGCATTTTTCGCTTCAACTTTTATATCAGTGCAAAGACAACATTGAGCTCTATGGGAAAGACCCGGTCATTTTTGTTTAAAATTTATATTTATCAAAATATTTGCTTTTTAAAAAAATACTGAATAATGAAAATAAAGTGAAACTAGGCAACCCTATTTACAAAGATCCGTGTCAATAAATGGCTGACTTTTACACAGCAGGGAGCCTTGCCGACCGACCCTTTCAGGTAATCAGTTCAGGTACTTTAGGTCATAAAACTCATAAATACTGGTAGCTGACCAACATTGTTGAAACTCTTTTACAAGTCGACTTCTTTCATTGCTGACATAATTTGATTTAAAAGTATGCAAATTTTTATAATTTTATAGATTCTACTAAAACATTTTCTTTCAAAAAATTATTTAAATATTTTTTATTAATCTGTCATTTTATATATTTAATTAATACACAAAACTGACAAGATTTAGATTCTCATCATTTCACTAACCACTTATTTACCTGAACAATCATATTTATTTAAATTTTATTTTTTCATACTCTTTTCCGCACCACCTATGAGGATACTCTACCTCGTTTTTTACGTGATATCTCCAGTAAACCTATTCCAATATTACTATTTATTCCTGTGTGTGTTTATACTAGAAGGGCAAAAGATTTATATGAACCACACATGACGCGAATGCAAATAAAAAATTTTAATTGTACAGTTTTTTCTTTACAATTTGTCTAATTGGTTGACTTGTTTAATAACGAGAATCTACTCTCTCCGGAAGTAAGGCATATAAATAAAATTTTTCTAGGACTCTATCATATTATTTTCTCAAAATTTATCATCTCGTTGAATTAAGCATTATTTAAATTGCACATTTTATAGATTTCTACGATAGCGTTTTTGTTTATTAAGCCGTCTGGCGATGCCGTTAAAAATGTACAAACCGCATTGTCTAATTGTCAGTTTGGTGTTACTGCAAACTGCTTCAGTTGCCCCTGCTTCATTTTCTATGCAAAGATTTTGGGAGAGTACATGCTGAACTAGATTTGCAGGGATGTAAAATGTTTTTCACAGTACAGTAGGATTAGTTACTTGTTCTCTCATTTTGCAAATTTTACCAAAATAACGTTTGGCTAGTCTAAAGGATTTTTCTGCGCACTATTCTGGATTATTGCGTTCGCCAATTGTGTTTTGTTCAATTAAAAAGACATCAGCGTTTGAAAGTTTTTTGAGAAATACTTTTTGCGCTGTGACATATCAGGTATTTCAACTGCCTCGTTAGATACATCGTCGCCCGAGACCTTGTATGATCCACAGACCGGAGCGCGCTCAGGCCAATGTCGACTCTATAAGCCTCCAGAATTTCTGTGGGAAATAGTTATTATTTAGGTGCTTCTGTTTACACATCTCACATGTTTCACTCGATTTTGACACGTAACAATTTTTTTGTTTAACTAAGAATTAATACACTCATTGCGTTTGATACTAACGTCCTAAATTAGCAATACCAGTGGAACAGTAATCATGCAATAAATTTTTTTGGGAAAGTACAGTTATTTTTATATTTTAGCAGGAATGTGCTCTACTTTCTATTAAGTTTTACATATTTTTAGTCACAATTTTGGAAGTTATTTTTTACTTTTATTTTTAGCAATAATAAATAGTCCAAACATGAAAAAATAAAAAAAATTAAAATTGGAAAATCTAAAATTTAGAAATCGAGAAATTGAACAATCGTATAATTGAAAAATCGAAACATCGAAAAACTGGAAAATCGAAAAATTAAAAAAAATGGAAAATCAGAAATTTAATGAATTGCGAAAATTGAAAAACTGAAATATGCATAGAAGAACTAAAAACTCGACAAATCGAAAAATCTAGAATTTTAAAAATTGAAAAATTAAAATATCCTATCATTGAAACATCGGACAATTGAGAAATCTAAAATTTGAAGAATGGAAAAATTGAAAATGTCAAAAATTAAAATACTGAAAAATTGAAACATCAAAAGTTGAAAAATAGAAAACCCGAAAAGCCGAAAAATCTCAATAATGTATTTATAAACCACAAGTTCAGGATTATGCTACTAAAAAATTGATAACGTCATCTCAAAATTTTGCCAAATAAATTCTACTAAAAATGTGCAATATATGATGAGTTTTTACTTGTAATTTATCATTGTATTCATATTTTTTAGATTTGCCTATATACCTAGGTGGCTCAAAAAAATTAATGATTCAGTCAATTTATTCTATTGATTAAATCAAGAACGACTCACTCCATTTTGCCAGAAATTTTTGGAATACTGTTATTTTTAGTCTAATCCACATTGATTTAGGTGTCCGTGCAAAATGTTGATTATTTCATTACAAAATTGTGTACCTAAAGAAAAAATCAAGTGGTATGGTGGTATATCGAATGTGTGTGTTCGCGTCTCTCTCGTTTCTAAGTCGAAATACCAGTGAATCTGTGCGCGAATATTATTATTTTTGTGAGAAGCCATAGGACCTTTGTATTGCACAAATTTCTGACCCCCTCGTGGGGTTGGTGAGTTTGGGTTTGTCCAGTGTTTTTATATATATTATTCGCTTCGCTGTATCGAGCTATCATTTA